ACTAGTTCGAATTAAGTGGCTACACAGCCCTTAATTCGAACTACTTAATTCGAACTAGGCATTACTCCTCGTAGAATGAGGTTTACCTAGTTCGAATTAAGCGCTCAGCTAGTTCCAATTAAATTCGAAATAGCGGTTTGCATGTGTAGCCCCTATTAAAGTTAATTTGAACTGACAGCTGTTAGTTCGAATTAACTTTGTAGTGTAGACATACCCTAAGACTGTGTGAGAAGCCCTCTGCAATGCTGTGTTCCATTCCTTGCAAATCAAGTTACTGAGAAGTTTATGTATAGTGTGGGAAACAATCCTGACCTGGCCCCAGAAGATGAAATGAATGATCTATTGCCCCTCTCTATCAGTTGTGATCCTGTAACACATTTTGTAATGACTGAATTCAGAAGATGCTTTCATTGGTGTTTCTGTAAGATGAGGTTAAAATAGCCACTGCAAAAACCCTATCAACTGTGATATAATTTCTAAAGAAGAAAAAGAAATATTAAGCAATTAAAAAGCAAACTGTAGTAACATAAAACAAGTCAGCTTTGACAGAAGGTGTAGTTGTGGGAGGTCCTCACTTCCCTCCATGAAATGGACGGCTTCACATCTGCCTCTTCTTTCAATGGTGTTTCCTTGGTGTTATGGTGAACAGAACTCTGACAACCACCTGGATGTGGCTCACAAAGAATGGCACTCAGAGCTAATCATTTAATTACACAATTATTCAGGTGTATCTCTGACAGAATCCACTCTCTGGGGATTAAATTAAAAACAACACCAGATAGTTCCTCAGACAACAAGGCCCAAATACTCTAAGGGTATGTCTACACTGCATCCTAGTTCAAACTAGGGATGCAAATGGAGACAATCGAAGTAGTTAATGAAGCGGGGATTTAAATATCCCGCGCTCCATTAACATGATCTCGCCGGCACGCTAGTTCGAATCACAGCTGATTCGAACCAGGAAGTGCGCGCCGGGACGCGTTAGTTCGGACTAAAGCCCTTAGTCCGAACTAATGTTACTCCTCAAAAAATGAGGAGTACCATTAGTTCGGACTAAGGGCTTTAGTTCGAACTAACGCATCCCGGCGCGCACTTCCTGGTTCGAATCAGCTGTGATTCGAACTAGCGCGCCGGCGAGATCATGTTAATGGAGCGCGGGATATTTAAATCCCCGCTTCATTAACTAGTTCGATTGTCTCCATTTACATCCCTAGTTCGAACTAGGGATGCAGTGTAGACATACCCTAAGGTATTTAGAAACTTAACCCTGGTAATTTGAATCAGAATGAGCTGCCTAAATATCTTTGAGAATTTGGGCCTAACCATATCCCTGGTTATAAAGAGAATTAGTCAGTTCACTAGAGACTTAACGTGCAGAATTAAACGGATCACCAGAAATGGAGATGAGAAGCACCCTCTTCCCTAACAAGTATATCGGAGGGGATGTCTGAGGTATTTTGTAGCGCTGAATGTGGGTCATCTGGTAGTACCAGGTTGTTCAGAGGCCCACGCAACTGATTGATACAGTCACAAAAAGGCTAAATTGTGGGATCTTGGTTTTTCCTTTCTGTTTCTGCCACGACTTTCTAATGGGTCACTTGGCAGAAGACACCATCTGGAGGTAAGGATAACAATTCAATAGCCTCCAATCTGTCCAATCCCATCAAGGGTCCCAGAAAGACAGGGATATGGAAAACTCCAATTAGATTTGGAATAAAAGTGAATGAGAACTCTCTCTTGCTCACCCCATGCTCCACATCCCCTGTGTCTTCCCCTATCTTTGTCTCCATGGATCTGCATCTCTTTCTTTGGACCCTGGATTCAGCCATGTGGCAGGAAGTCTAGTGAAGTTGATGTTGGTATCCAGATGTTAGGATCACGCAACTGATTTATTTGATCACAAAAAAGCAAAGTTGTGGGACCTTGGTTCTTCCTCTCTCTGTTTCTGCCACCAAACAATGGACCACTTTCTAATGATCTTTTCTAACAGGTCACTTGGCTGAAGGCACCATGTAGAGGTGAGAATGACAATTCTATGTTCCCAAACCTGACTAGTCTTATTGAGGGTTTCCAAAAGAAAGGGGGCTAGAGAATTTGCTTCCTCATCCACTTTGATTTCAAACCCTCTCTCTCCCCATCCCCCACCTGCCCCAGATTTAACTATTTAACAGATTTAACTCTGTTCTATTTTTCACGTTTCAAGGAGAAGATACAACCAAAGGTGTACCAAGGAGGTTTATGACCCAAGTGTGACTTATCTGTTTCATGAAATCCAGTGTGGCAATGGCACCAAGATATGAAGAAACTGGTGCTCAAACACCAGCACCCACATGCTGAAATCAACATCCTGGAAAGGAGCCTCCCAAGAAAGATCTCTCAATCCTTGCCTCACTGCCCCATCAACTGGTTCCTCTCCTGGAGCCTTGGCTCAGAATGCTCCGGGTTTGTGGGAGAGTTCCTGAAGACATACAGTGAACCTAGACATGTGTGTCACGTAGCTCTGTAGGCATGAAGACGGAAGCGCTCATCATGCCTTTGTGACATGGTGATGAATGGAATCACCCTTAGAGTCATGGTCTTCTCAGGTAAATGTTCATTTTATTTCCAAGGAGACTGGAAGAATGAAGCAGTTTGGGGGGCTGTACTATGGAGCCTTCCACGTCTGAATATTGGTTATAACGAGCAAAAGTCATTACAGAGATACAGAAACAAGCACTGCACTGGGCATTAAGGGTCTCCTGTGTCAGCCTTGATTCACTACCGTACTCTGAGTATCACAACACTTAACTTTTAGATGCCTGGAAAATCACAGGAACACATTATGATTCACAAAGCCTGGGTTAGGCATAGGCTCCCTATCCAAAGAAAGAGAGAGACAGACACTTTGGTCTGTGATTCCCAAAACCAGGATGTTATAGAGCTGTGGTCCCCAACGCGGTGCCCGCAGGCGCCATGGCTCCCGCTGGGGCATTTATGTATTCTTGCTGAGTGATCAGGGCTGGCCCTGCCCCGGGCCTGTGGCACATGCATGGTGCCACCCCCAGGCGTGTGGCGCATGGGAGGCCCCGCCTCCGGGTGCGTGGTACATGCGCGGCCCCTGCCCAGGATGCGTGGCACATGCATGGTGCTGGCCCTGGGTGCATGTCATATGAGCGGCCCCACCCCCGGGTGCGCAGTGCATGGGCATCCCTGCCGCCGGGCGTGCGGCGCATGCACAGCCCCGTCCCTGGGCACCTGGCAGCCCCAAAAGGTTGAGGACCACTGTTATAGAGAGACATGACTAAGCTAGCCAAAGGGCTACTTCAAGTCAGACAGCAACAAGTAAATGTATTTCCAATATACAGTCTAAGGGTACGAGTACACTGCGATGCTATTTTGGGATACTTTTGGTATCCCAAAAATAGTGTTTTCTGCATCTTGACAGCATTCCCGTTATTTTGAAATGTAATTGAAATAATGAGCATGTTATTCCAACATCCTGCTAAACCTCATTCCATGAGGATTAAGGGACTTATTGGAATAGTGCTCTATTTAGAAATAACGCTGTGTAAACAGCACCAAATTTTGAAATAGACAATTTTGAAATGAACTCAAAATAAGGTACACAATTTGCATAGCTCAAATCGCATAGCTTATTTTGAGCTAGTGCCACAGGGTAGATGCACCCTTAGGCTATTTCTACACAACAGCGTTATTTCGGAATAACTGACATTATTCCAAAGTAATATAGTACACATCTACACACAAGCAGTTATTTTGACATAATGTTGAAATAATGTCAAGCTGGAGGACTGCTTACTCCGACTCCTGTAACCCTCATGTACGAGGAGTAAGGGAAGCCGGGGGTAGAGTGCTCTAACTCAAAATAACTGCTGTGTAAACAGCGTCAAAAGTCAAAATAAGCTATTTCGACTTAACCTACGCAATTAGTGTAGCTGAAGTTGCGTAACTTATTTTGAGTTTAGCCCTGCTGTGTAGACGTGCCCGTATAGTCCAGAGAAACAAGACATGGAGGGAACACGTCTTAGTAACTGGACATGACTCCCTCTGTTTTAGACACATGGATTTTTAATAACATGAAGATTTCAGAGAGTTTGTCCATGGTATCAGTGTTTGATAAGAATACTCCTGGAATCACTTGTATGAGCTTAAAACATGTTTTGCTCTAGAAAGAAAGGTTAAAAGAAGAAGCTCCTGTCTTAGCCCAGAAAAAGAATGTCTTAACATTCCTTAAGCAGGGGGAGACGTCCCCTTCCAGCTTTTCATTCCCATGTCATCCTGGGAGAAAGCAGAAATTTCTTAGGAATTTCTTTAATTAGCCTGGACACTTCATTTAGTAAAGCAAGCAACTGAAATATGAATAGAGAAACTATTTTCTCCAAGTCCCATGTAATATAAATAATTATAAGGGCTTCTTCAAATTTAGAAAACATGGAGCCAAGTTTGTAACAACCTAAAACAAGAATACATTAAATAGTTTTATTAAATACAATTTTGGATCATTGCTGAACTCCAGCTCACTCAGAGCGTAACCTTGCAGAGATGAATCACCAATCACTGACAAGGAAAAGTCGGTTTCTCTAATCTCTCTGGTTTCTTTTCTCAAGAATAGAAACTTAAAAGTGCAACAGTAACACAAGCTCTAGGGAGGGAAAGCCATGGCTGCCGGCTGGAATGGGGGTAAAGATACAGCAATAGTGCACATGCTCGTGTACTTTTGCAAGTATTTGCATATATCTCTGCATTTGTGTTTCTATGTCTATACAGTATATATGTGCATTAATGTGTGTTCGTGCTCATGAATTTAGTGGCATATGTGCATCTGTATGACTGTTGCACATCTTGTATATAAGATATGTATATTTGACTGGTTTGTTTAACTGCCTGAGAGTATATATAAACATATAGTTTTTTTTTTAAATTAATAACCTGTCAGTAAAGATAGACACTATGGCTGTGTCTAGACTGGCCACTTTTTCCGAAAAACTTGCCAGCTGCCTACACTGGCCGCTTGAATTTCTGCAAAAGCACTGACGATCTCATGTAAGATTGTCAGTGTTTTTGCGGAAATACTATGCTGCTCCTGTTCGGGCAAAAGTCTTTTTCCGAAAAACTTTTGCGCAAAAGAGCCAGTGTAGACAGCAGAGATTTGTTTTCTGCAAAAAAGCCCTGATCGCAAAAAAAGTGCTTTTGCGGAAAAGCGTCCTGCCAATCTAGACGCGCTTTTCCGAAAATGCTTTTAATGGAAAACTTTCCCGTTAAAAGCATTTCCGGAAAATCATGCCAGTGTAGACGTAGCTTATCACTGACAGTAAAATGTTTTTCTTCAATCAGTACTGAACACGTATTTCTTACAAAAACGAAAAGTAAGAGAATATATCAGAGTGGAGGCAGTGTAGGTTACATATCATAGTAGATATAGAGACTGGTTTTATCAAAGTTAAATAATGGTTTTTCTTTCTAATTAGTACATTCCACTGTGCTCATATCTTCTAATATAGTTTTGATTTTTGTGTGTGTTTTGGTATGTATTTTTGTGTCTGTCTGTATGGGGATGCCTATATTTAAAATATGTGCAGCACTATAAGTTATATTGGTGCAAAAATCCACTCTTGTATCTGTTCCTTTGTGTACCTTATGGGCACGATCCAAAGTCCACTGAAGTCAAAAGGAATCTTTTCACAGTTTTAATGGACTTCAGATCAGGCCCTAGCTGAGCATGTTTTTGTGCATGGCTGTACAGGTTTTGAAATTTCTGCATGCCTTGGTGTGGGCTCTCAGATTTGAGTTGAAAATGTAAAGTGTCATGACAACAGTGCACAAAGACATCTTTCCTGATCCAGGAATTTTAGTGACATCAGGGTTTTTTCTTAAATCTTAACTCCTGATAATTAAGAGGAAATGAACATTTTAAATGTGCCCTACATTTTTAAATGTTTGTTTTCAATGTTACTGTGCCTTGTTTTGCTTTCCAGACTGTCAGTGCACATAACGAGGGACTCTTATTGTCTTCCTGAATAGAAGCAAATTAAATATATATCCTGAAAAAAATCTCAATTTTAAAAAATTAAATGCATAATGATTATTAATTCCATAGGAAAATACATATATTTAAAGTAAAAAGAAAGGAAATACCTGTTCATTAGATACAGCTTGGACTTCCCTGGTCCGGTACCCTTGGGACCTGACTGGTTCCAAAGGAGGGATTTGTGGGATCAGAGGAGGTCCCCTGCCACCGGACCCCCAGCCTGCCATTGGCTGCCTCCCCAGCCTCCAGCCGGTTGTGCTGTCAACCCTGGCTGGACCTCCTACCACAAGGCTCCTGACAGCACGGCCAGGCCCTACCCTGAGGTGGGACTCCCTGTGTGCTGGACCCCCACTGCCATGGGGTCCTAGCCACACCATTGAACTCCCCGCTTCAATGCTCACAGCCATGCCACCATACTGCCCCCTGCTGTAGGACTCCCCATACTGCTGGCCTCCCCATTTCCCAGGGTTCCTGGTGCCGCTGCAAGACCTCGTTGCTCCTGGGCTCTCTGGTCTAGAAAAAATCATGGTCTGTCCTATCAGACCGTGGAAGTTGCCGTACCAGAGTGTCCTGGTTCAGAGAGGTACAGTCTGTATGTGGAGGATCTTACCCTTGTATATGGGACTAGACAGCTGGGCTGTGTCTAGACTGGCCAGTTTTCCCACAAAATCAGCTGCTTTTCTGGAAAAACTTGCCAGCTGTCTACACTGGCCGCTTGAATTTCCACGAAAGCACTGACTTCCTACTGTAAGAAATCAGTGCTTTTTGCGGAAATACTATGCTGCTCCCATTCGGGCAAAAGTCCTTTTTGCACAAAACTTTTGAGCAAAAGGGCCAGTGTAGACAGCAGAGATTTGAAAATGGCGATCGGGGCTTTTTTGCGGAAAAGCGCATCTAGATTGGCACGGATGCTTTTCCGCAAAAGTGCATCGTTATAACGCGAACTCTGCGCCAATCTAGACGCTCTTTTCCAAAAATGCTTTTAACGGAAAACTTTTCTGTTAAAAGAATTTCCGGAAAATCATGCCAGTCTAGAGACAGCCCTGGAGTCTGAGTGATTTTAATGAGCCATGCATGCATACTAGATATTATTTTTTATTTATTGGGCTGTTCAAGAACAAGTAATGGCCATTCTCCACACAGGCTATGTCAAGACTTGCATGATTTTCCGCAAATGCTTTTAACGGAAAAGTTTTCCGTTAAAAGCATTTTTGGAAAAGAGCGTCTAGATTGGCGTGGAGTTCGCGTTATAACGATGCACTTTTGCGGAAAAGCATCCGTGCCAATCTAGATGCGCTTTTCCGCAAAAAAGCCCCGATCGCCATTTTCAAATCTCTGCTGTCTACACTGGCCCTTTTGCTCAAAAGTTTTGTGCAAAAAGGACTTTTGCCCGAATGGGAGCAGCATAGTATTTCCGCAAAAAGCACTGATTTCTTACAGTAGGAAGTCAGTGCCTTTGCGGAAATTTAAGCGGCCAGTGTAGACAGCTGGCAAGTTTTTTGGAAAAGCGACTGATTTTCCGGAAAAACTGGCCAGTCTAGACACAGCCACAGGGTTAAATTAATGGCCTTTTTTGGAGCCAGGATGAACATTTCTCACCCCCATGTGCTGGGGTTGGAGTTTCTTTCACGAGCAGTATTGAACAGGACTTAACCATTGAGAATGCACAATAGTCAGCTGTGTGATCTTGGAGAGGAGACCTTGGGGGACCTCAATTTGTCTGTCTTCCTCTGTGTAGTAGGTGACGCTGTTCTTTTTCCCACAGATCATGTGTCCAGAGGCATCACACAGGGGTGAGAATGGAAGCACCGTATCTACATGCACTACAAGATTTACAGACTAAGTGGGAGCTGGGAAGATTCAGAACTTGTTCCCTGCTCATTACTGGGATACAGCGCTCCCTCTTCCCTGCCTCTCTCTCTTTCTCCCCCCCTCACCCCATTATTTCCCCTTAATCTCCTGTGTTCCCCTTTCCATCTACCTGTCATTCCTCTTCATAGCTCTCATTGAGAACTGGCCGTGACTGGCGAGCTCTCTAAGATAAAGCTTTGGTCAGTGACTACTCTTTCATGTTTCAGAGGGAAGATAGATCAGAAGACATTTATGGAGAATTGTGACCCAAGTCTTCTTCACAGCGAAACTTACTTGTTCTACGAAATCAAGTGGAGCAGCAGCAAAAGATCCTATCAGAGATGTTGCCATAACACCCACATCGAGCATGCTGAAATCTACTTCCTGAAAGATGTCTTTAATAGGCAAAGAAATGATCCATCTGACCACTGCTCTCTCACCTGGTACATGACCTGGAGTCCCTGTGGGGAATGCTGCAAGGCAATCAGGGATTTCCTGAAGGAACAGCCTAATGTCAATCTGGTCATTTATGTAGCACGGATCTACTGCCATGAAGAAGAAAACAATCGCCAGGGTCTACGGAGCCTGGTGAACATTGGAGTGACCATCCGAATCATGGACCTCCCAGGTAATGACACATGGAGTTTGGGGGACAGGATGGGATAGAGATGGAACATGGGGCATTTTTCCTCTAAGTCTCTGGTTCCAGTTCAGCCCTGGTCACAGATGGCTCCACTGAGCCTGTAGATAGTTATGGAGTCTTTTCTCTTCTAGGTCTGTAGTTCCAATCAGGTCCCAAGTTTTGGCCAATATTACAGTGGGACTCTGGGCTTATCCCCTTAGCTCTCAGGTATCCCCAGAGTGTTAGGGGCCCAAAGCCAGTGGCTGACAGCCAGTTTTTGGCCTATGTGAAATATGCTGGGGTTTGCGGTCCAGTTGCTAGCAGTACAGTTAAAATCACTAAACTCTGCATCCCTGATGGCACTTGCTGATTCCTTGTCTCAGCAGAGAGGCTGGGGTGCAAACGTGCCAGGAAGAGACAAGCCCCTTTGACTGCCAGAGGCGGTGGAAATCAGAGTGGGCCACTGACGAGCCATGTGCGTGGGTAGGGCTGGCCCGGCTCTGCCCCTGGCTGGCGGTGGAAATCAGAGTGGGCCACTGACGAGCCATGTGCGTGGGTAGGGCTGGCCCGGCTCTGCCACTGTCTCTATTGGCCCATTCAGGGCGTAAGCAGGGAAGAGCAGCGGCGTCCGGCGCAGCCCACCTGCCATCTTGCAGCTCCATTGGAGAACAAAGCCTTGTAGTTAAAGGTCGGGGCAGCCTTTGCAGTTTTGGTTAATCTGACCCGAGAGTAAATCAGCTCAGCCAGTGCTGCTTCTGCCCATCCTGAAGAAACAGACGATATTTTAGTCTCTGCTGCAAACAGAGTGGGCTTATCCCAGCTAAATGAGATTTTGCAGGGCTGGTGTAATGAGGCCTTCCCTGGACAGAAAGGAGGAACAGGCCAAGAGATCACGAGGCCCAAACCTGTCGTGTCCTGAGCTGGCACTGCCCAAGGGAGACCCAGAGGAATCGTTGCGCATGGCTCACATTGGTCTTGCTCCCTTGAGACTGACTGAGCCGCGAGGACACTGAGTGCACTGACGTTTCCCTCCGCACGTGTCTGAATGGTTCCATTTCCCCAGTTTATAGCTACTGCTGGAGAACCTTTGTCTGTGATGAGGACAAGGATGAAGATTATTGGCCCAGGCACTTTGCTCCCTGGATTATGCTGTATTCCCTCGAGCTCCAGTCCATCCTTCAGGTCAGTAGAACTTCCGGGAGGGGACATTTACATGAAGAAATGATCCAGAGTCACATGCAGAACTGGAGTCAGATTAAGATTTACTGGGGCCTTGGGCACAAAGACGATGTGGGCCCCACCTTTACCTCAGGGCCCCAGTTCCCTGCTCCTCCCCTTCCCTGAACTCCTTCCCCTCTGACCTGGCCAGAAACTGGGCCTTGGTCTGACCTGCCCATGGAGCCCAAACTGCTCTAGGGAGCCCCAGACCTCCCCTTGCCCTGGGTGTTGTATCCTGTGTGGGCAGGGACACTGGCTGGGGGCTGTTTTTGTTCACTGTGACCCACCACCAGTACTCTCCACAGCTTCCCAGGCTCCCCGGAGGGTTCTCACCACAACCTAGGCCAGTGGTCCCCAACACGGTGCCCACGGGGGCATTCATGTGCGCCCGCCAAGTGCTCGGGGCTGCATGCATGGTGCCAGAGCCGGCCCGGGCGCATGGCTCACAGTGAGTGCCGGCCCCGGGAGCGCCGTAAATTGGCCGCCCGCTCTCAGTGTCTACGGGGGTGAATGGGTTGGCTGCTTGGGGGAAGCAAAGGTTCTTCGCATCACGTGTCAGAAGTATCAGAGGTGTGGAAGAAAACATTGTCCTCACTCTGAATTTGTAAGCAACAAGTAGCCAGACGCAGTTTTATTATGAGCTGCAGCAAGGGAAAAACTGGTTCAGACAGTTCCCCCCCTTCCAAGGCAGATCTTCGAATACAAGCAATTATGAAGCAGTTTATATACTGTCTATTAGATATAATATCTCAGGGTCCCTACCAGAGTCGGCATTCTATCCTTATCTCCGTATAGAAGCGAGAGGCAAAGCCAGCGTCTAATTACAGATCTCGCGTTGTCAGACCACAGACTTAGCCTGACTCTTGCTCTCTTGTTAACAAGACCAAGATGGCTGCACACAAATTCCCTTGTTCCCTTTTCCTGCCTCCACACTCCCCCCTTTTGTGCTTACAGCACAACTACCTTTCTAAACCTTTATTTTCATTAAACATTACATAATTAGTACAAACATAAAAGCTATTTCTATTACTACATCTTTTACAACAACAATAAATATGAAACCTTTAATAAGCAAAAGCAATATAATCATTAATATCCCCAATATAATTCTATGATGGGGCTGTTCTATAATTTTAGTAACATAACACAACATATCATAATTAGTAACCAAATTAGGGAGGGCCGGTACATGCTGATGGTACCCGTCCATAAGCACAGAGTCCAGATCAAAGGGAGAAACCCAAACCACTCCCACAAGTTTCTCCTTGGCAATATACAATACTTTGCTTCTTTCACCAAGGTCAGTTCTTAATGTCCTTTTGTAGTCAGAAATCTTTGGGCTTTGGCGGTGTCAGAGGAGCGGACTTTTCCT